CTCCTCCTCCTTCCCTACTTCTATACCAAACAAATATTATTTGTTATTTTTTTCACTCAGGTATTTTTTGTTTTATATAAGAATTTAACACTAATTATATAATTGTGGGATTGTGTCAGAAGTCTCCAAGACCACCCCCAAGTTTGATGGTTTGCTAGAAGGATTCACAGGATTTAGCATATAGTCATACCCATGGCTAAAATTTATCACAGCAATGAGTTACAAAGCAAAATCAACAAAGGGAAAGAGTGCATACGGCATAGCCTAAGGGAAACCAGACACAAGCTTCCAAGGTGCCTCACCCAGTGGAGTCAACCAGGATGTACTTAATTTCCCCAGTAACAAGTTGTCACAATACGTGTCAAGTGTTGTCTACCAGGGAAGCTCATTGAAGATGAACCTAGAGTTTTATTGGGAATTAGTTATATACTAAAATTTCAGATTCTCGTAAGAAAAGTTGGAGTTCAGTATAGACCACATTGTTTATATGAACAGTTTAGGTACAGTGAGCCATTCTTATAAATTAGCATGGTAGAAACCCTTCCAAAATCCAAGATGCAAGCTCAGGGCCGACCTTGTAAGCAAGTCTTTCAAAGGATAGCAGTCAGGCCTGCTATGTTAATTCTTTTCTGTACAGACAAACATTCAATGACTGATCCGAAAATGAGAAAATACAAAAATATTGGTAATACAGTTTATAATTTTTTGTAACAAAATGGATTTATAAAAATGTTTTGTTAAATGAAGTTGCCCAGCAAAAAATGAAGATTGATTTCCTAAGTGTATCAGTTGTTCAAAGACCATAAATGTTAAAGTTCCATGTTTACCATATGTGCTACCAAAGCATACACAGATGCAAATCCTTCACCTATTTGGACAGCAGGTAACTGATAACCTTATTTATGCAGAACACAGTAGAGAATGAGAAAGTAAGCAAAAGAGGTTGTTCTGCAGCCAAAATAGTTGTTTCAAAGTCCCTTACCTGAATCAAAGGAGACAATCAACAGAATGAAAAGACAGCCTACAGAAAGGGAAAAAATATTTGCAAACCATATATCTTATAAGGCATCAATTTCTAAAATACATAAGGTAATCCTACAATTTAATAGCAAAAACAAATAAACAAAACTAATAACCTGATTGAAAAATGGTCTGAAGACTTGAATAGGTATTTCTTCAAGGAAGGTATACCAATGGCCAGCTGGTATATGAAAAGTGTCACTAATCATCAGGGAAATGCAAATCAAAACTACAATAATCACCTCACACCTATCAGGATGGCTATTATCAATAAAACAAAAGACAGGTGTTGGTGAGAATGTGGAGAAAAGGGAAGCTATGTACACTGTTGGTGGGAATGCAAAATGGTTCAGCTGGTATGGAAAAACAGTATAGGCATTCCTTAAAAAATTAAAAATAGAACTACCACTGAATAGATCAGCGAATGGATTGCCGAATAGATCCAGCAGTCCCACTTCTGGGTATTTATCCAAAAGAATTGAAATCACAATCTTGAAGAGATATTAGCACTCTCATGTTCACAAATAGCCAAGATGTGGAAACAACCTAAATGTCTATTGACACATAAATGGGTAAAGAATATATGATGTATACATACAATGGAATATTATTCAGTCTGGAAAAAGAAGGAACTTCTGTAGTATGCAAACAGCATGGATGGACCTTGAGGATGTAACACTAAGTGAAATAAGCCAGTCCCCGAAGGACAAATACTGCATGATTCCGCTTATGTGAGGTATTTAAAATAGGCACGTTCATAAAATCAAAGAGTGGAGTAGTGCTTGCCAGGGGCTGGGAGAAAGTGAAAATGAGCAGTGCTGATCAATGGGCATAAAGTTTCAGTCAAGCAAGATGAATAAATTCTAGAGATGTGCTGAACAACATTGTATTTATGATTGACTTAAAAATTTTATGCAAGGTTAGCTCTCATGTTAAAATAAGTCCTTATAACCTCAGAAAACTCATAAGATTTTGCTATATTATACCTTT